TAGATTTATAAGCCTTAAAAAGGTTTACTCAGATTTTTGTAAGGAGAGCCTAGGAAAGACAAAACAGGCTTAAATTGGAAGGCAACCCTCTACTGGAGAGATCAGATTTTCTTTTTTTTAAATATTATTTAATCAAACAGCTGCTATGACCCAGATGACTGAGAATTTACACAGACATGAGTTCCTATGAAATTATTATTGATAAATGCTCCCTTACCTGTGCTAAATGGCTTGTTGAAGATGAAAATAAATCATTGTAGTAGTGAAAGCTAAAAACTGAATCAAATTTAGATCTTTTAGATTTATTGATTTAAACATCTCAAACTAAATATTCTAACAGTGATAAAGAGGAGGTGGTAGTAAATGTTAGAGATCTGCAATCCCATAAAATACACACATTACCCACACTGATAGAAATGATGCAACTGTTTTTGGCTTCTACTTAATTAAATCATACAACATATCTTTAATGCCCTACTCTACTAACATGAAACAATTGTGCTAAAATAACTAAATATGATTAAGTATATGCCAAAAATTGTTGCATTTTTTTTTTGTGTTTTATATTTCAATCTTTTTTTTTTTTTTACAGTGTCCTGTCTAGGGATGTGGCAATAAGAATAATTGTCTTGATGCCAAAAAGAGCCCAACAGCTTGTGCTTTCACAAGTGGAGCAGTACGGCTATCACCATAGTGTCCCACTTGATTAATGCATATAAATAACTTTATTATGATTATGCAGGGAGTATTACTAATTAAATGGACACTGCAATGTAAGTAGAACAGGAAAGGAAAACAGGAAAAAGGAGAAAATATTAAAGAAAAAGGAGATAAAAGGGAGACAGTGATAAAACGTCTTCAGTCTGCTTCATCACCTGCAAAGAGATGTAAAAGAACAGCACCAACAACGGATATAGTATAAGAGATACAGTAAAGTAGTATATAGTACTACTTATATAATAATTAGTTTCATTTAATCTGACATGTTTACTGTGTTACCTGAAGATCATAATGTGGGCTTTCTGTATGGAAGTGAATCTCTAACTAGCTGGAGCCAAGCACCTGCAGTTGTTTGTGAGAGTGCACTTGTATAAGTAAAGTTTATCTAAAGGAAAATGCTCAATAGTGGTTGTGAAGAGCTTTTCCAAAGTCTCCAGATTTAGTATCTTGTCTTTCTCCTCACACCACAGCATTACCATAAACGTAAGGTGATGCTAGTTATCTAAAACATAAAATTAAAAATATTTTATTCCACTAAGTTTTATTGTGAAATATTATTCTTTTTTTAAGAATAATTAAAAAGTTACAACAAACAACGAGAAAGTTCTCTAATGTGATGCCAAGAGGAGGATAAAGATTGTGGAACTGAGCTCTGATAACAGCCTTATTTTTTTCAGTTTACATTCAGTAAATTCAGCCAAGGACACTGGAGTTGTGCTGGAGTGAGGATAACAGGTTTAAATCCAGCAGAGAAGACATTATAATTTTGATTTGACCAGATTATGATGGCAAAATTATGGAGAGATTAAGAGCAAGTTTACTTTGTAAAAAAGATCTCAATCTTAGAACACCTCACAGAGCGTAGCATCTATTATCTGAAGATAGTCTGGCAGAACATGACTGGCCACCAAAACACTATAGAGAGCAGGGCAATCCATTGGTGGCAGGCCTTAATAACACCGGCCTACAATTCTTTCCTGTTAACATTTGTCTGTTTGACACTGTAATTTGAACCAATGTCCACCATGTTTCAGTCAAAGTAGATTGCCCAAGCCAGACCTGTCTACAAGCTTGAACCAGGAAAATATCATATTGCTATGAAATTAAAAGCATTTTAACTTATTTTATTTAATCAAATAACTTTCAGACTGTCAGGTTGCTACACGAGCACACAGCCAACTGTCTGTGTGTTAGGACAGAAAATGAAAGTTTGATTCAAGCTTAAATGAGGGTCAAACAGTTAACTCTGCAGTTGATGCAGAGATTCACTAACAGCCAATCCACCAGGCGATCTTATCTAAAACAGGAAGGCCGCTGTGTGTGACCCAGTCTGCTTGGAGGGAGGTTCCACAGTCCATTCATCAATGAGAAAGGTTTATGTCAACAATCTTTAAACTGGGTTTAAGCAATTTGGACATAACCACATCCAAAAACGGGAGAGGAGCCTAGACTGCTGTGGTCATCAATTATAAACAAAAAACAAATTAGTGATGCTAACAGTGTTGGCTTAAGCCAAGCGAAGCACAAAGTAAACTTAACTCCACAAATATCTTATTATTATTACAATCATTAGTTGGAAGAGGAGATGTAGAAGGCCAAAAACAGCATCTCCAGTCAACAGGCCTTAGAACATCTGTTAAAAAATAAAAGATTTAAAGGCTGATTCTTTTTAAAAGGATCTGCACACAAAAATAAATTAGGATTGGAGCATCTAAGGTGGCAAAATATGGAGGTTCTGAGTGGTTAACTGGTGTGGTGCATTAGCAGCTCTGTTAGTATTATTATTTAAACATTCAGTATTTTTAGCAACATCCTCAAATGATCAGAAGTGATGAGGGAGAACCATCATAAGGACATCTATAAGCCCTGAACTCCACTCATTGGCGCTATATGAAAGGATGACAAAATCCATTGGTCAAAGAAAGTAACAAGAAGTTTAATTTTCAGTTTGCCACAAGAAAACGTTGACTTATGCTGATGGCATGAGAACAGGCCTTCTTTTCAGTCTTATTTCCTTTTTGCATTGTCAGTAACATTTTCCCTTTTTTGCCTAATTGATCTCTATGTTTTCTCTTTTCCTCCTTGTCACAATTTCATAGAAATCCTCTAGTAATTGAAAAACTTTATTTTTCTATGAAAAAGTCGAGGACATCTAATGAGACAGAGCCACAGTCTGTCCTCTTACTGACAAAGCAGAGGACGTTCTGGACTCATATGAAGCTAAACATGGAAGGTCAATGCAAATAATTTGACACAAAAGCTAGAATTAAACATGTTTCCCCTGTCTAACTTTTTACCTCACCTATTATTATCGGCATGGTAGAAACTTATTACATTTACTCAGTTACATTACCTCAAGTGAGTTTTAGAAGAAATTAACCTTTTAGGGGTTTTGTACTTTACTGTACTGAGTAACATTCTTGTGAGAGTAGTATTGCTACTCTTACTCGAAATCATAACAAAAGAACTAGTGATATTTAGGAATGTATATTATTTTGCTTGTGGTAACCAGTTTTGTTGTACTTTTGCAATTATCTCTCCAAAAAAGAAGAAAGTTTAATTAAATTCTGTTCAGTTTATTTATGTAGCTTCAATTAACAACATCTCAAGGCACTTTGCAGAAACAATTCAATCGCATCATTTACTCATAGTGGTAAAAACATTTAAAAACAGTCATTGAATTTGCAGGATCCCCGCCTCCTGGATGAGTATGGGGAGACAGTGTCTATGTGCTTGGAATTTGTCATTGGCTCTGCAGTAATCCCTCATATCAAGCATGCAGAAGTCATGGAGAGGAAAACAGGAAATAAATAATAAAACAAATCTCCAGCAGAACCAGAACCAGGGTCAGGGCCATCTACTGTAAAGGAGACTGAAGCAGACATAGAAAAGGAACATAGAAGCACTGATCTATAAAAACTTTCTCTGATAGAGAAAATGTTAGAGCATGGCCATCCCTAGCGAGTCATTTCCCCCCCACCCGCACCAGGTGTTGTTTTTCCCTCAGGGGCCAAATTCATCACCTCTGCAACAAGCAGTTTTCTTCTAAATCAAAAGGTGGCTGCGGGAAATCATCATGTGGATGGTCCATCTTTAAAATTTTTAAATTAATATATCAATCAAAAACTGTCAACAAAAACAAAGCGACTAATGTTATTATTTATAACAATATACTACAATTAAAGAGGACTAAGAAATAGTTTTTATGTTTTATGGGGTGGAGTTTATCTCTGCAGTTATCTAAGAGTCTCCTATGTATAAATATCTGTCTAGGTTTATTAGTTACGGTGGTTCCTCAGGAGAGGAGCCTGATAACTAAAAGATCTGCCTCCCATTCTACTTTTAGAAATTCTAGGAACCATTAGTAAACCTGCAGATTGAGAGTGAAGTGCTCTGTTAGGAACATAAGGAACAATCAGATCTCTGATGTAAGATGGAGCTGGGTTATTTAAGGCTTTATGTGTGAGAAGGAGGATTTTAAATTCTATTCTGAATTTAACATGTTATGGAAAGCTCTGTGTTCACACCTTGAAGTAAATAGGTTAAATAACACTTCATAATGTATATGTAAATAAATAACCATGAGACAAGACAACAGATTTTGATAGAAATTGTAATCTTACTGAGACCAGAGGAATTTATTAGGGTTACAGAAGGCAACGCTTACCAAGCGGGCTCACATCTCGTGAAGTGGCCTTGAATCACAGTTAGTTCTACCAGTCCAGTTTACCACATAATCACATCATTACATCATACATGTTTGCAGATTCCAGATAAAAACACAGAGAATGTTCCACTCTGTCCTTGACCCCATTATATTTACATAATGAAGATGATAACTGCATATGCTGACAAATTAACTGTAATACTTGGGTCAACTTTAGCTCTGACACACAATAAATAGTTAATATTAGGGATTATCAAACTCACAAATCATTAATGACAATACTACTAACAAACAGGAAGCCAATGAAGAGAAGCTAGAATAGGGAAAATATCATCTCTGTTTTCAATTTTCATCAAAACATAAAGAGCAACATTAACCAGACATCTGACTCCACAGCCCAGAGTTTATTAGACCTTTCCATATTCTTTCACATCTGTAATTTATGTTCATAGAACCAGGCTGAGCAAATTAGGATGCTGCTGTTATCATGTTGCGTGAATAATTTAAATTTTTTGTCAAAATAAAAACAAATAAACAGGCACAAGATGGTAAAAAAATAAAAAAGTTCACATTCAATAACACTGAGCTAGCTTTGTTTCTGTTTCCATAAGAGCTACACATAGGTGCTGGTGCTCCCCTTTACAGAGACTGTACTTGAAACATCATGTACAGTTGCTTTCTTATCACATAGACGAACCCCCTCCACTATGTTGATCAGCAGAGATACTACAGCTGCAAGAAGCATGAAAATGATGAAGACTGTTTTCTCCGTGGGTCGGGACACATAGCAGAACACTTTGGTGAGGCAGGGCCAGCGGTCACAGCTGTACATCGGATCCAGGCCAAATCCATACAGGAAGTAGTGAGCTACAAGGAAGGCCACTTCAAACACAATCTTGAAAATAATGTTGAAGGCGTACGCTTTCCGGGCACCACCTTCCAGCAGCAATTCCTTTGCTTCTTTTCTTCCCAATGAAGCCCTGATATTGTTTTCTTTCCCTTTGCTTTCTTCCTCATTATTGCTTTGATTATTTTGAGTATTATTCTTCTCTTTGTGTTTTTGATGGACAACAAATCCCAGGTATATAAGCGTTGGTGTGGAGACAAAAAGGATTTGCATCACCCAGAAGCGGACATGAGAAATTGGGAAGGTCTTGTCGTAACAAACAAGTTGACAGCCTGGTTGGTTAGTGTCACATAAGAAATTGGACTGCTCGTCACTCCACACTTCTTTAGCAGCTGTTACCAGGACGAAGATGCGGAAGACAAACAGCACGGCGAGCCAGACTTTACCAACAGTGGTAGAATGTTTTTGAGCCGTCTCCAGCAGGTCTGATAACTTGCCAAAGTCTCCTCCTCCCATTGTTGGTTCGCCTTCAGTTGACCAGTAACACCACCGAGCCTAAAACAAATTAGGAAATTCATTTCAAATCATGCACTCAGTCACAATTAGCACTGAAAATAGGAGATAGATGAGACATTTCTAAATGCAGTTTTATGAGCTGCGACTGGAAGGAAAACGACAGATGACTCATCATCACTACAAACAAACATCAGAAACTGGGAACTAGTCTGATCTCACAGAAGAAAACTTAAGTTAAGGGAATTTATATTATTTATATGGCACATTTCAGAAGCAAGACAATTAAAATTTGTCATATGTGTCTCTACTCTAGGAGATCTGATTGACATGAGTTCATTTCCTCCTCAGCAGCGATCAAATGCAGCAAAAGCCTGTTGATCACCATTTTGTTGAGGTCAGGTGTTTGGAGGCATGGAAATGCTAAAACATGGAGGACATTAGGCTCTGGAGACCAGGGATGATACACCCTGGAATAGAGGTAATTAAATAATTAAAATTATAAGAAAAACAAAGTGGTTGATAAAAAATTTAAAGCAAGTAGGGCTAAAACCATAACTAATAATGGCTAGATAGCTCAGTCAAAGGCCTACAGAAAGTTTATAATCTGGATTGAGGATCTCTTTTCCATATTAGTGGAGCATAAGAACTAAAAGCTGCTTCTCTTTGTTTGGTTCTGGTTCTGATCCGGCAGACCTGAGAGGTCTGGCTGTTGATCCACGGTCAACCTGTCTGTAATGTTTTTTGGAGCTCAGCCATTCAGTGATTTCTAGACTAACAGATGGGTTTTTAAATCAATTCTATGTGATACGGGGATTCAGTGGAAGGACTTCAGAACTGGGCTGATGTTTCTTAGTTCTAGTGAGGACGCAGGCAGCAGCACTCTGGATCAGCTGCAGCTGTCTGATCTACTTTTAACAGACTCTAGAGGACACCACTGCAGGGATCAATTCTACTAAAAATGAACGAAGCAAGAAGTCATTATTGAAAGGTCCTGCTGAGACATTAGTCCTTTAATCTTTGAGATGTTCTTTAGGTGATAGAAGGCTGACTTTGTCCCTGTCCTTATGATCCTCTGAAGCTTCAGGTCTGAGTCCATCACTACACCCAGATTTAGAGCCTGATTGCTGCTTTCTAGCAGTTACCATGTCAAGTTACCATGCAAGCATATCTATAAACATCTTAACTTTAAGGGAGAGTGACAAGAAGGAATCTATCTTTGAATGAAAGTTACAAGAAGTTTCATTTTCAGTTCACAAGAATGCAGCAACTCAGGGTGATGGCATGACAGGTTATTGTTTGCTGTCTTATTTCCTTCTTTCATTTTCTGCAACATTTTCCCCTTCAGGCTTATTTATTTCCATGTTTCCTCTATTCCTCCCAATCAGGATTTCACAGAAATCGTCTGGTAACTGAGAAACAAAAGGTCTTAACTTTAAGCAGCAGTAGCCTGTTAAAAAATAGCTGAACATCAAATGAGGTCAGAATGCAAACAGTAATGTGAAAACTATTAGTGTGCTGTAAGTTGGGTAGGGGATGGACTAGAGCGAGAAACAAAAAAATGAATAGTTCATTAAAAATGATATATATCTTAGTGCTACAGGCATTATTTCATCATACATTTGCTTACAGTTAACATTAATAAGATTGAACATGCTGGATATGAGACCTCTAATGGTTTAGGTGAGAATGTTGTCACAGAAGTTTCTAATCCATAGTATAATTCAGAAATTGTAGCATTTGTTATTTAAAAGTGCTTCAGAGTTAGAGATCTATCTGGTTTTAGAGATCTGGGCATCCATAAAACCCCTATTGTTGATCAAATGTTAAAGGATGACTTCAAAATCCCCATTAGATACCAAAAAAATTGATCTGCAAAGGTGAAGCTCAGCTCCCTTCTCTCTGCATGGACGGTATCTGTCATTAGGATGAATGTGCTTCGTTGGTTATTATACTGCTTACAGATGATCCCTTGGTTATTCTCAGTATAAATTTACTTAATATTTGGCTAAAGGAATTTAAAAGCGGCCGAGATGAGGATCAACACCTCCAAATCCAAGGCCATGGTTGGACTCCCCTATTCTGGTGGAGAATCCTTGTCTCAAGTGGAGGAGTTCAAGTATCTCAGGGTTTTGTTCACAAGTGAGGGACGGATTGAGCGTGAGCCCGACAGACAGATCGGTGCAGCGTTAGCAGTCGTGTCGTGGTGGAGAGGGGGCTGAGCTGGGGGGGCAAAGCTCTCAATTTACCGATCAATCTACGTTCCCATCCTCACCTATGGTCATGAGATCTGAGTAATGATCGAAAGGACAAGATCGGGTGGCTGGGCGCACCCTTCGAGATCGGGTGAGGAGCTCAGTTACCCGGGAGGAGCTCGGAGTAGAGTCGTTGCTCCTCCATGTCGAAAGGAGCCAGCTTTCGACATGTTTCGGATGCATCCTAGTCGCCTCCCGCGGGAGGTGCTCCAGGCATGTCCCATTGGGAGTCTGGACATCTTTGATTAGACTGCTTCCTCCGCGACCCGTCCCCAGACAAAGCGGAAGAAAATCGCTGGATGGATGGAAAAGAACCCCAGATCTAGACTTTCTAAGTTGTACCTACTCCAACAGATGGAGACGTCTCTGATTTTAAACAGCAGGCTGGTTGAGGGAGGATCCCAACGCTGTTGGGTTTAGTCTGAAAAAAATAAAACCCAGACTGCCTGTTCATTGCTTGGTCTTCTGTCCTGTAACAATATACAAGTATATAGGTCTCTTAGTAATAACAACCCTACAACTATCAGTGCTGTCAAAGCTTGGACTGCAGTTAAAGTTAAAATGAGGCTCTAAATCTTCTTCTCTCCTGAATACAAGGACATCCTGATTATAAGCTAAACTTGATAGATATCGTTTTTAACATCTGGGAAAGTTAAGTAATTAAGAAGATGTGAGATCTATTGGTGGGACTTTCTCTGTCCTCGTGTGAGCTAATTCAGACGAATTAGCCTCCCCCACTAATATGAAATGTGGATTGCTCATATTGCATTTGCTTTCTTGTCATTTAAAATTAAATACTCTGAATTAATAGTGATTTTTTTTTCACTCAATTAAAACATTTATTGACTGGTTTTAAATCTGAAGTCATCTGCTTGGAAAATGTATTTTGTTTTATTTAACGCTATAATGCCAAATGTATCATATTTGATACATACGGTTTCTGAAATATTTTGTGTCTGACACCTTTTGCATAATTTAATGGTAAAAACTTTGCTCAAAATCCTATTGTACACAATCAGATATACCTGATAACAGCGGGTAGAAGACTACACAAAAAATAATCTTGACTTATTGCATAGTAATAAATTATTAATATCAAAAATGTATTTCTGTTTTTTCTTTTTACATATTTTGTTAAAAGGCCAAATAAGGACTTCAAACCAAAAAAATAAATTTTCTGTTTTGTGTTATTCTTGGATCGGGCTTTAAAGGGTTAAAATGTACTTACTGAATTTAATTTCCATGCATCCAGGTCCTTTAGCCACAGTATTCAAACGCAGATTCACAAATTTTCAATCAGGATAAAATTCTTTTAGAGCATTTTGACCGAAAGCAGTGGAGCTTTAATGACTTAAGTTGAAGTCATTAGCAATGTCTAAAACTATGTGTAAAAGGCATGATGTATAAAAAAAAAAAGGCAATTCTAATTCTACATAAAACAAGGTAACTGTTAGCCAGAGGTGCTGCTTAATGTAGTGTGCTACCAGTGTTACTGTAGGTCGTTTTGCGTTTCTGTCATCAATACGTTTGTAATGTTGAATGAAATGGTTAATTCGTCTCATGTGCTGCACTGTTTCAGCACAAAATACCATAAAATAACTTTAACTTAAAGTTAAACATAATTTGTGTTTGATACCTCTGTGGCTAAAGGACCTAGATATCTATATTTAGATTCAAACATCCAATAAATTTCTGTTTAATTGTAAATTACTTTTAAACTGGTGCAATTAATTTAAACCACAGTCGTGATAAAGTGTGACTGATTAAAATTCTGTTTCTGATTAAACAAGTTTTTGCCCATACCTGGAAGTCATTTTCTAGATATCTCCAAGAGTGACTTTTTATGTTTCATAAAACTACATTTATCTCTTGGGCTGACTTATCTCAGCAGAGAAATTACTGCTTAATTATCCAGCCAACAAAGTATTTATCGGCTATTACAAAGTTCTCAACTGACATCTGCTGCACAGACAGACAGCTCACATATGGCAAACCAATTTGGTGATAACTATTGAGACGGAAAAGTAGGAACAGAACTAATATGTTTTCATAATCAGGCAGGCTGTTACATTTTAAAGTTATTGTCTGACTGTAAATATCTCCCAATAAAAGACAAAAACTCAACCCTGAATTGTCCCTAAATCCAAATCAGGTTTGGGTACATATGTTTTTTCATATGTTTGCTCCTGTTCTACTTTATTATTAGAATTATTATTCTGGAAGACCAGAGTAACATACTGGGAGTTGAATGGCTTTAAATCCTGTTTTACTTCCCTTGGGACACAAAAATTAACCCTGACGATAGGATATCTTCTCATATTCTGCTTATAAAATCGTTTTTCTGTCACAGACCAGTGAGCAACCTTCCAATTCGCCTCTGCATAAACATTTTTTTTCTGGAATATTTAATCTCTTCTCTTTTTTCTTAGGTGTCTCATCCACATACCTCTGCTTTATAAACTTCCACACCGCTCCCAGATTGAAGACTGTTTTTCTGGAACTATGAAAATTTTTGTCCAGTTACTCTATCGTTAGTTGCAATTAATGTGCAGATCAATGCATTCATTTTCATTTCTTAAAAAAAAGGGGGAAAAAAACAAAGACAGAGAGTGCAGTAGAGAGGTGAAAAAACACAAAGCTTTACTGAAATATCTGTAGAAGTGTGGTGCAATTTGGGGATGTGTGCGTAACAAAGTAGGTTTTCCAAATTTCGAGAGCTGTGGTGCAGCTTCTAAACTCAGGACCTTT